GGAGTAAGAAGAAACAAAACTAACCTGGAGTAAAAAGAAACAAAACTAACCCGGAGTAAGAAGAAACAAAACTAACCCAGAGCAAGATGAAACAAATCTAACCCGGAGTAAGAAGGAACAAAACTAACCCGGAGTAAGAAGAAACAAAACTAACCCAGAGCTAGATGAAACAAATTAGTCCAGAGTAAGAAGAAACAAAACTAACCCAGAGTAAGAAGAAACAAAACTAACCCAGAGCAAGAAGAAACAAAACTAACCCAGAGTAAGAAGAAACAAAACTAACCCAGAGTAAGAAGAAACAAAACTAACCCAGAGCAAGGTGAAACAAATCTAGCCCGGAGTAAGAAGAAACAAAATTAACCCTCACTAACCCAGAGTAAGAAGAAACAAAACTAGCCCGGAATAAGAAGAAACAAAACTAACCCAGAGCAAGAAGAAACAAAACTAGCCCGGAGTAAAAAGAAACAAAACTAGCCCCGAGTAAGAAGAAACAAAACTAGCCCGGAGTAAGAAGAAACAAAACTAACCCGGAGTAAGAAGAAACAAAACTAGCCCGGAGTAAGAAGAAACAAAACTAGCCCGGAGTAAGAAGAAACAAAACTAGCCCGGAGTAAGAAGAAACAAAACTAACCCGGAGTAAGATGAAACAAAACTAGCCCTGAGTAAGAAGAAACAAAACTAACCCGGAGTAAGAAGAAACAAAACTAGCCCGGAGTAAGAAGAAACAAAACTAACCCGGAGTAATATTAAACAAAACTAACCCGGAGTAAAATTAAACAAAACTAACCCGGTGTAAAATTAAACAAAACTAACCCGGAGTAAGAAGAAACAAAACTATTCCGGAGTAAAATTAAACAAAACTAACCCGGAGTAAAATTAAACAAAACTAACCCGGTGTAAAATTAAACAAAACTAACCCGGAGTAAGAAGAAACAAAACTAACCCGGAGTAATATTAAACAAAACTAACTAAGAAAAAGGAGTAGAAATAAACCTTACTTTGCAAAGAGTTCTTACCATGACATGTGTATTGTGTTGTATTGTAGAACGTTGAGAATCTCTTTAATTGTTTTAAATTCCTTTAAACCTTTTGTTACTAAAAATGATTACAAGTTACGTTTCATAATTGAATAGTTTTTAATAGTTCCGGTATGTGTTAAATGTATAGTATGACATTGCAAAATTATAAAATTGCACACACACACACAGCCAAATTTTGCAAGTAATTCATACATAAACGTCCATTAGTACTTGTAAATATTAGTTTAGAGGTGTTAAAATGTCACAGGTTTTGTTCTAAAAAAAGTGAAATTAAAGTTTAAGAATAAGAAGACAAAAATATTCTTATTTATCAATGGAAATATGATCGTATTTTGCTCGAGGATTTTTTAGAAATATCAAATGATTTGAAAACGACCAATATGGCCATAAGAACCAAATTTTTAAAGTTTTGCAAAAACATATCTCAGTTTATGTGGGTTACGATTAAATTATGATCATGTGGTTGAAAATTAAGCAAATTGCAGCATACCATTCAACTCAAACCAAATCCGATATCCTCGTATCTACATTTGTCATTGAAAAAAAAGAACAAATCTTGAAGAAATATTATACTGTTTATATTTTTTTATGTATTTTAATTATTTTGAATAAAAACTTAATTCTTGTAGATTTTTTTTACTTGAAAAAAGTGTACAGTGTATCTACGAAAAATATACATTAGAAAAAAAAATTAAAATTCTCAAAAAATAATTTTTTTCCTAAAATAAATCATTTATGGTAAAGTATTGCCATGGTTTTGAGAATAATTTTTAAAAATGGATAAAAGCTAGAGTTGCAGAGACCCCAGATTTTTAGATTGAGATATCTAGTTTGTAATTAGTCTATGGACATATATTTCATTAAAACCACTAGTGAACCTAACAATGAACGAATCAAATTATTACTTGACTGGTGTTGCAGTTGAAAAAAGTGCAACAGTCTAGTGGAGAGAAGAATACTATAGTTTTGCGCACTGCACTGTTCTGGAGCACGTTTGCTCGCGCTAATCTGATATATATTCTAGTCTCTTTTATTCTTTTTAATTTTATTCTATTCTATTCTATTATATTCTATTCTATTCTATTCTATGCAGCTCTAATCTAGTATCTTTATACACATATCCTATCCTAATAATTCTATCCTATGCTCTTCTTTCTTCTTCAATCCTATTTTATTCTTTTGATTTAGTAATTATGTTAAATAATAGGAAGCAGAGTTCCATTGTAGGAAAACATGTTGCATGAAAGGCAATACCATGTATTATAGAAGAACACATGGAATTCCACAGTAAAGCTATGTTCCTGAATTGAAACATTGTTCAATGAAATGGTTTGTTATTATTCCATAATATCAAATGTTATTTCATTAAATGAATCCAAGTTAGAAAAACAAAGTTTTAATTAGAATGTACATCACTTGCTCTTTATGTTTAACAAGAAACTATATGTGTGCAACAAGAGAAAGAATAAATTCTTTTGAAACTCAGAACAAACATAAAGAAATTTTAAAAAGTTAACTGAATTGGCGAGTTTTAAAATTTTCAATCAGTAAAATGACGTCACAGGAATGTTGAGTTGACAGCTGATTTTCCCAGGGATTTCATAACCTTTACAAATCCGCCAGTTCTCAAGCCGTTTATAGAGAAATCTTTCATTTCATTTTATTCAATTACAAATATATTTCTATTTTCAACTCTGCCAATTTTTGTTTTTATTTTGAAAGGTGAATACATGATTTTGTATATTCTCTTATTTTATGTATGATTGATGGTTTGATGGATCGATAGGTTTTTCAGAGCAAAACTTTTATAAGAAATTTTCCAAATTCTCAATTTTCCAGGTTTTCCTTATACCGTCTTGGAAAAAAATCAGGGACGGCTTTCCAAAGAAATTGAGTCTTTGCAAAGACTCAATTTCTTTTAATCCATATATCTTTACAACCTGATTGCATAAAGATTTTAAATTTCAAACCTGTTTATTTGATCCAACATAGTTCATAATTTGAAATATCTAAGATCTAGCAACATAGGGTTGAAAGATATAAGGATTATAAATCAGAGTTAGTGACTTAATTCCTTTGAGTATGGCGAAGAAATCCTTCCAAATCAAGTTTCGTTTTAACTTGTTTTTTAAGAAAAGGAACTGAGATCTTGTCACAAACTGGGGCATATTCAGGGGGGACTAGTGAAATCTATTGATTTCAGGGGGTTTTTAGGCCCCAACGAGTGCTGAGCCCCCCCTGGAAAGAAAAAAAAATTTAAGCCCCCCCCTGGACAAATTCCTGAATACGCCCCTGGACTCACAAACAATGATTTTTATGTCGTTGCAGCTCGGTGTCGTGGATCTTTGATATTTCAAACATTGAATTCTGTTAAATCATATAGTCTTAGTTTGAAATATCAAAGGTTTTACACCATTATATAGGTTGCAAAAATGTAGATATTAGAAAATTTGAATTTATGGCCAGAAAGAGCTCAGTTCCATTTCTGAAAAATTACGAATTTTAACTTAAAAAATCTTCAGCTTTCAGAAAGTGCTAAAAATCATCTTTTAGACTTAATAATTTTTTTTTTTTTTTTTGGGGGGGGCAGGGGTACTTTTAATATCCAAATCTTCCACGTTATTTCAGTATAGGTCTAATATTGTTAAATATGTTTAATTTATCTGGAGTTTTTAGTATTAATGCTTTATCAATATTAGGAAGATGATGGAACTATATTCATCAAATATCAAAAGAAACCTATTAAAAATAGTTTCATAGATAGATAGAGAGATAAATATTAAGAATTTTCTGGAAGATGTTTCAGAGGGGAGAATAGTTAATTTAGTGTTAAGTTCTAATATCAAACTTTTCGGCAAAATTTTGTCAACAATTTGTGAGAGAATTGGCTTATGATTCTAACCGCAATATTTTGTTAATAATAATTAATTTTACTGTTTTAATATAAATAATTTTAAAACTTTTTTCTTATAGACATTTATTTTTGTGTATTGAGGAATAGATATTTGTCCGTATTGATAGGTAGATAGATATTTGTGAAGATAGATAGATTTATTATATCAACACAATATACAGGTTTATTTAATATCCATGTGTCCTCAAATATTTGACAGATGGTTTCTTATAAACCTTCATACATGGATATAAACGGTAAATATATTCGCGCCATTAGAAATCCATTCAATTTTACATATACGTGTAAAATATGTATTTTGTATTTGTACAGTGAGCACCAGAAAACTGTGGGATTGTCCCCAAGGATTGTTGAAACTGATAGTAAAAGGTTTAAGGCACTTACAAAAATACATTTCAATTAAAAGAAAAAATTAGACTTCAAGATTTCCATTGCTTTCTGGCTCTCTGCATTGTGTATTTTTTATATATATAAAAAGTTCAAAAGAATTTAGTATTTATCAGTTATTCACAAACTTTCAACATTTTCACTCAATTTTCCTTGCAGCAGATTTTATGTGATCTGATTTCAGAAATTTTAAAACTTTTTATTAAAATAAAATGTTTCCTAAACTTTAAAATTTAAGCACCAAAAAGAACAACTTTTCATATTCAATAATGTACCTATTACTATTTTTTTCGATTATTAATTATTATTTTTGATATTTCTAGCAATTTAACTGCTTAGGGACTGTTGGGACTGATTTCATGTAAATTGTATTTACGTATTCTGTATAAAATCTGTCTGTGTTTTTATTTTTATATGTCTAAAAATAATCCTAAATATAATTTTATATTTATAGTTTATTGAATAAAATGTAAAGTTTAAAAACTGAAATATTATATATATATAGATATATAACATGTATGATATATATCTATATATATATATATATATATATATAAAATCTACGTCTTTAGCTGCGGGAATGTGACCGTGACAGAAGGAAACCTGTACAATCTTGATCTAACACTTTCATTGCATTACACTGCTGTACACTCACTTACTTGTGTTTTCATTCAACCCTCCTCATCCTACTCTTATACCGGAGATAGATATCGTCCTGGTCCTCTGGAGAAATCTAGTCCCAGCATGGTTTAGTTTCACTGGAAGGTCGGTATGCGGATACAGGTGGTTTGGTATCTGTCAGGATACTGCAGGCTGATCCGTCCCAGGATATCTCCCCCCCATACACACACCAGGCGTTCAGGTCTCCAGACAAACTTTTCCGGGTTCTATACGAAGCAAAACTAATCCAGGGTGTAAACTAATAAAAAATAAAATTTTTTTATTTATCATTACTATTTTTCTTATTTTATTGTGGAATGAAGTGCATCAAAGTTGAAAGTTTGATGCGTAATATATGAACCAGCCGAGAGAAGGCCTGACCCGGGCCTGTGTACCAAAGCTGGAGATTTAAATACCAGAACTGGCGTAGGATGGAGAACTGAACAAAGGGAGATATAGTTAGTTGGAAGATACTTCACTTTGATTACTGTGAGAGAGTAATAGTTCCTTGTTTTAAAGGAACGAGTTGATGAGATCATGCCCATTGGTTCAGCATTGATAGTTTACAAGCTAGTGTCTGTGTTGACATTAATAGCTGACAAGGATGTGCCCATTGGTTTGGCATTGATAGTTCACGAGATCGTGTCCTTGTTGAGTGTTGTTATTCCTGGATAGATACAGATTTCAGAAACCCTTATGAAGTAGGGCATTTACTACATATATCGTAATTATTAATCGAGCTTTTAAGGAAATATAAACCAATCGACAAATCATATTGGATAGAGCATAGCTTTCTCCGAGCACAGCTGTAAATTAAGATTTTTGGATAACAGTATATAGAAATATAATATAAAAATTAGCAGAAAAATATATGGTTCTTTAAGTACAGGGTGTCCCAATAAACATGGGAATTCAGTGACGATATAGTCTTTTTATATAATTCTTTGATTTGGTATAGTGATACCTACTGAGAAAGTTGTAATCTGTATAAGTTTCGTCTGCTATGTTCACATTTTGTTTGTTTATGTTTTGACTGCATACGGTTGTACTTAGTGAAACAAGAAAATTGCAGTATACAAACAGAGTAAACTTGTCCGTCCTCACTGTTCATCTTGCGGAGACATTACAGACATATATTTACAGTCTTTTACCCTTTTTATAAAATAAACTTTAGCAGACATAATAATATTATGGGTTTGAAATTAGGTATTACAATGCTAATAACAAAAACGATATCCAATTCTTCATTGAAATCTTATGTTTTTTGGGACATCCTGTATTCTGTTTTGGGAATATGACTCCGGAAAGGCCCTAGTTGGAAATAGTTATTTTTATGTTCAAGCAGTTGTAAATTTAGTTGTGTTTGACTATTGGTCCGTCTAAAAGATAGTATACAATATACATATAACATATCCTGAAAAGTTCATTTGCTTTGTCAAAATATGTTCACTCTGTTTATAAATATAAGATGCTAGAATAAACTAAGTTTAAGAACATTTCGATTTCTTAAAAATAGTTTGAGGCAAATCGGTTATGCAATATGTTCTAGAGTTATAATCACACAACTATTATATACATATGTAAGTAAAGATTACTACTTTATTATAATTAGATATTTAGTCATGAAGAATATCCCCGAAACAAGGGAAGACGACAATTGGGAAAATCGTTGAAATGTCGTTGAAATTCCAAGTGAATCTACAAATGAAGATTCACACCGTTTAAACTTTAACCAATAATTTCACCAATATTGTGGAAGATAACGCCAGTTTTCTTGCTTGAAAAGTGATGAATTTTGATATTTTCTCCTTTGGTTCAGAAGCCAGTGTCGACTTTAAAGTGTTGCAACGCCTTGTGTTTTGGTTTTACCGCTCTGACTTACTTAGGCTTTTCTGTAGCCCTTTACATGTACATTTTAGCACTTGCTGTTAGCTTTAGTTTATGAGAAGTAATTGTCAAAATTTTTATCGATATTTGCTTGAGAGCTTGGGACCTTTAAATCACATTGGCTATACTCTAGGAATGAAGGGTGACTTAAAGGTACGTTTAAACTGTTGTCTTGGGCAATTTCTTGGTGTTTTTAAAACTATAAAAGTTTAAAGATTTTTACAATGCATCACAAAAAACTTAAAAGGATTTAATATTAGGAAAATTTATTTTGTAAGAGTTTTCATTATCAGAATATTTTTACACATGAGAGAAGACGAGAGAGTTGTATCGTATAAACTTTAGCATATTGCATTAAAAAATAGTCAATTTTAAAATAATTAATTCTGGAATTATGAAACCTTAAATTTGTGTAGAGCCTTAAGTTCCAAACATAGATAAAGATATATTGCGCATAAGACGACATTTTTCATCTTGAAAAATATAAATGTACAGAGATGTTTTAAAGTTATTCCTATTATATAGATGAACAAGGTCGGTTGTGAACATTGGCTGTTCTTATGTTATTGAGTACTTGTGGTGTACATTTGTTCTGTAGAGAGAAATTTAAGTTAGTTTAGTCCTTCTCATGTCCTTCTTCAGTTCTCGTCAATATGATAATTTGATAATTTGATATTCTCAAAATAAAATTCACTCCTGAGTGGTTTATTAATTAAGAAATCCATTAAAACACCAAACCACCCCGCTTATCACTGAAGTACACTTTGACCCCTGGAAGTATGATTTCGCGGACTGTACAATTATTGGTGATTTTGCGTACATAAGCTATCTATGTTTATTTATTTATCTATGGTTCCAAACCTTGAAAGTACATTAAGTTAGTATTGAATAAAAATTAATTATTTCAGAGACGCGTAAAATATAAGTTGCTTAAATTGATTTCTCTAACCTACTCAACCAATTCCTACTCAATCAACTTACTCAACCAACCTACTCAACCAACCTACTCAACCAACCTACTCAACCAACCTACTCAACCAACCTACTCAACCAACCTACTCAATCAACTTACTCAACCAACCTACTCAACCAACCTAGTCAACCAATTCCTACTCAATCAACCTACTTAACCAACCTACTCAATCAACCTAGTCAATTAACCAACCTACTCAACCAACCTAGTCAACCAACCTTCTCAAAGAGACTGTATGCGTAATTTCTAGTGACCCTGTATGCAAAGTTGGCACTGCTGATTTACAACGATACCCTTGAAACACTTATCTAATCAATAATAATAGAAGATATCCCGGCATTTCTATGTTTAAAAGTGTTAGGTTCTGAATAGAATAGAATAGAAATGTGCAAGTCACTTTTGTACAGAAATTCATACTTGATCAAACAAAGTTTTGGGGCACATGTTGGGTATTACTTGCCTGCATAATGTTTCTTGTTTTATACAATCTTCGCATATAATATGTTTATACAGTAGCAGGCGATTTTATCAATACAATAAAGAAAAAAAACTTGTTTACAATCAAAAAATAAATAAAAGTCGTCTTCATTGTAGTGATATAATCGCTAACCACTGTTTATGTTTTATAACTGCAAAAATTGTAAAAATTAATATTTGTTTTAAATCTTGGCAAATATTCGGTAAAAATTCCCAATTACGTATATTTTATATTCTTATATTGAATGTGAGTTAGAGCATATTTAGTCTATATTTGTATTTGCGTTTATTTATCTAAATATACATAAACCTAAATCCGAATATTCATTTTTAAAATGGTTTGAAATTCAAGCATAGCCGCGGAGCCATTTTTTTTATTTTAAAGGGAGTGTTCGCGAAAAATGAAAGGGGGTATAGGCTTACACCGAAAAGAAAGCACTTTTGATCGCTACTAATCTTACTTATATCTGTTGCGTCTATAAGAAGAAAATTGTTAAAAACGTCTTATATTTAAGAGCATAGCGTCCATACAAATTCAGAAAGTTGCAATACACAATAATCGATGACTATTGTTTCTAATATCTGAATGATTTGTTTGGAATTAAATTGATTATTTTGCGATCCGAGTTGAATGTTGCAACTTTCCAAATTTGTATGGACGCTACGTTCTTTGGTATGAATCGTTTTTAACAATTTTCTCCGTATAGGCGCAACAGATAGAATTAAGATTAGTAGCAATGAAAAGCGTCTATTTTTCGCCGAAAGCCTATACCCCCTTTAATTTTCGCGAACATTCCCTTTTACTTCAAATTTTATATCAAAGATGTCGAATGAAAGTTCAAATTGTAAAAATAAATGTGTTTTTATTTTATTTTATTTAAATTAAGCGTAATGCATTTATCATATGGATCGAAAGTCATACTTGTTAGTCTATAACTTGCTTTAATTTCTAAACCATTTTTTATTGTAAACATTATTGTAAAAAGAATTCAATGATTAATATAATTTTGCACCTTTAAAAAAAATACTACTGAATCAATGTCAATGTCCTAAGTTGGCATAATTAAAAGTAAATTTAAAATTATTAAAAAATATTTCAATAAAAATATTAATTAAGCTTTCTTATTCCCTGATTCACATATTCAATGTTATGAACGCATTTTTATTATCAATATCAATGATATTACAAAAGCGTTTCTTATTTTCTTTATCATTATGTATTCTTCCAGGAATATTAATAGATAGAATAATGAAACATAATTTATATTACAAGTACATTGTGAATCTTACATAAGTATACATAATAGATTCTTTATAGTGTAGTGCCTCAAATACACTTTTGTGTCGTTTTTTCTAATTTCAGTGTTTATGAGATGTTTTTTCAATGTTGGTTTACTCAAGATGGAGGTTAAACAACGTGATCACGCATCAAGCAAGTAGTGAGATTAATGTACAGGTAGAAACACTGGACTTGGTAAAATCAGGTTTTTATGTTATGTGATAATTATTTTATTTTTTCCTAATACGTAACAATACAAGTCACTATGCACTCGCGGATTTAACAATTATGTCTTTTAAATCCAAGCCAGCCGTGACTTTCGATGACAATTTAACCAGTGGCCCAATTTAAAGAATTTGAGCGCCGGTTTAAATATGGTTGGTTCCACTTAAAATTGTATTAAATGTTTCAAGATTTAAACCGGCGCTTAATTTAAACCGGGTTTTGGCAGATTTAAACCGCGGTCAGTAAACATAAATTTTCGCTTTTTCTCAGTTATACTTTTACCTAAAGGAACTGAGTTCTTGTCAAAAACTCTGATTTCCTAATCCCTACATCTTTGCAACCCAATAACGTAAACTGTTTATATTTCAAACTATAAGAGAACTGTAATATCAGAAATTCTAAGTTTAATAATATCTACGGTTTACTCAATCAGGTTGCAAAGATAGGAATTAGAAAATTTGAGTTCGTTGGAGAAATTCTTTTTGCTGAAATTCCCAAGATTGAAATACTCCTTGGGTTTGACATATCATGGAATAATTCAAAAACACAATATTTTAATTCTTCTAGGTTTAGATTAAATGGAGCAAGCACTGCAGTTAAATTTTGTTTTATCAGCACAAACTTTGTTTTCTGGTACTTTAACTTTCTTCTCTAGTTGTTTATTATCATTGTTTTTGGCTTTTACACCCCCCCCCTTTCTTTCCCCACCTCCTACTCCCTCCCGCCCCCCCCCTCTTCATAAATCCCTGGAGGTCAATCAATTCATGCAACTCAGGCCTATTCCAGGAAAACCAACTTTGCAAAGAGTCAGATTGTTTATATTCGCAGGGTTCAAGGGATTCAATAATCAGAGGATTATATTTTGTAGAAATGGATTTAAAGATAAAATAAAATGATAAAAGATCAAAGGATAAATACTGAAAGTTCTAAAGATCAAAGAATAAAGAATTAAAGTTTAAAAGATCAAAGGATAAAGACTTAAAGTTCAAAAGATCAAAAGAACCATGTATTAAAATTAAAGATCAAAAGATCAAAAAATCAAAAGATCAAAAGATTTAAAAGATCAAGAGATCAAAAGATAAAAAGAGATTTAAGAATTTTTTTTGTTAAGAGTGTTAACCACAATTATAAGAATAGATGACCCTTTTAACCACCATTTTTACAATAGATCACCCTGGTAACTACACTTTTAACACTAGATAACCCTTTTAATCAGCATTTTTACAATAGATCACCCTGGTAACTAAATTGAAGTTTATGGTTTCGTGTCCTGCCACCCTTTACCCCTTGGTATCCTGTAGTCCAAAGAAAACAACTAGAAAGAGAACAATTGCAGTTCTAAACAATACTTGTAACAATACTTTAAAAAGAGTATATATCTTAATAAAAGACAGTCTACGTTTTATTCTTTTTTTCAAATAAGATGTCATTCGTAAGCTTTATATTTTAGTTAATACTTAGCTGAATTATTTTAAAGGCTGACTTTTCCGATTTTGAAAAATTTTAATTTTTTTCCTTCAATTTTTCAGTAAGTATTAAAGATAAAAAGTTTTCGTACTTTTTCGTGAGCTGTTGGGCTCAAGTTTCTGAGGCTTCTGTTTTTACCAAAATTAAAAGATAAATAATCTCTTATTTTGACAGATAGATATGTATTTGGTTTCTGTACTTCTTCTTTTAGGAATATGTTAAAGCCATAAATATTCGTATTTGATCTAAATATTTTTTTATGTATCAATATAAATATTTTTTCTTCTATTTTCAAATAATTGAAACAGATATTGAACTTAATCCTGTCTAATAAATATGTACTATAGAATAAGATGAAGATGGTAGGGTATGGTATAGTGAAACATGCATATTTTATTGTTCGGTCTTAGATCAGAAGTTTTCTTTCGTAAAGGCAACGAGTCTGATCCTTTGATATTTTAACCTTAGAGATTATTAAATGTAATAGAAATAGTTTGAAATATTTCAGGTCTGAGACATTAGGATATAGAGATTAGAAAATCAGAGGTTGTGATAAAGACTCATTTCAATAAACTATAAAAAACATTTTATATAACATTTTTGAATTTGATGTTTTTCAAGTAATCTTTTGTGTGTGTCAGCTTTTTTTCTCAACAATTTTACGCGAATTTCAGATTGAAAATTTTATAAAAATTTTAAATTTTAATGAGTCCAAGCATTAAAAGACACGGTGCATACAAAAAAAGTAAATTAATTTTACAAAGGGATTAATGTTCAAATTTATAAACCTTTGATATTTCAAATTTAGAATTATTTAATCTAACTGAATTCATAGTTTGAAATATCGAAGGTTTACAACATCAGGTTGCAAAGATATGAATATTAGAAAATTTGAGTTTGTTGCAAAGACTCAATTCCTTTGACACGGATTTTTAGTTTCGTTTAAATGTAGAGAACATATAATGAAACAGTTTTAAGAAGAAAAGAAATAACACGTACTGCCAATTAATCTGTGATTTAATCAGTAATATTTTTAATGCATATTTATTATTATATTATAAAGATTTATTCACACACAAAGATATAAATACATATATAAATGGTGTAGTTTTACAAAAGAAAAAGTAGAATATGCAAAATTATGCACAAATAGGCGACATCGATCATTACTCATTACATAACATATTTATAATTTCAGTTATTACGTAATTATCGAATCCTTTAACATTATAAATTATTCGTTCTTGTATTTAGTATTTCTTGTAAAACCGGAAATTTCCATGCATCGGAACGATGGGGCATCAAAATATATCATTTGTTTCTATAACTAACATTTTACAAAGATCAGAAAGATTTACAGAACAATCATTTGCAATGGAAAATAAATTTCTGCCAAGAACTGTGTTAAGGTCATTTTTGCATAAATTAGAAAGAAATCTAATGCAAAGCTTAGATCTTGCTTCTATAGTCTCATAGAAAGACACACATCTACTAGTTGAACCCTGGTCCTACTTTAAACATATATAACATATATAGCTGGAGATATTGAGTTGAACCCTGGTCCTACTATAAACATATATAACATATATAGCTGGAGATATTGAGTTGAACCCTGGTCCTAGCGGAAGAAGATCTGTAGCTAAAGGTCCAACCCCAGAGGAGGAAATATTAACAATTCAATCACAGGTTAAACCTAAATTGATTGATCGAATGATGAATTTGATGAATGTATTAATTACTCTCAGAATCACTAGGGGGTTTAATGGAATTTAGTCTTTACCAGAAACTCTGATTTTCCAATCCTTATATCTTTGAAACCCAACGTCATAGACCTTAGATTTTTCAAACTATGAACTTTGTTAGATCAAATATCAAAGGTTTACGCCGTCAGGTTGCAAAGATGTAGGGATTAGAAAATTTAAGCTTGTTGCAAAGACTCAATTCGTCTCCATTGGTTCTAATTTTTCTGAGAGTAAATGACATTTCTGCAACAACTTTATGACCTCAAGTTTTGATCTTATGTAAAAGTTAAGAAACAAAAATTTCTTCAGTTAGATATTAGTAAATTTAAAACATTTGCATTCTTCTCTAAAGATCTTTAATAGGAGGAGTTATAATTGAACACATAAAAGATTTCAATTATACTTCCAAGTTAACTTAGTGTACGGTGTTGTGAAGAACTGATTTTAACATGGTCCTGCAAAAGAACTGATTTTAACATGGTCCTGCAAAAGAACTGATTTTAACATGGTCCTGCAAAAGAACTGATTTTAACATGGTCCTGCAAAAGTAAGTTTTTAGATTAGCGGGATTCAAGGAAAACCAGTTATTTTAATAGCAGCATGATACATGATTGGTTTATTTTTATTACAATCCTACATCTTCACACATTTCTGTCATTTCTCCATTCTAACTGTGTACACTGCAGTAGTAGAGGACAGGCAGACAGCTTTTGATTGAGATCCAATTCAAAAAGCTGTGTTTAAATACTCTTTAAAAGAATTAAATGAATTAGAGAAGTGTCCTTCCTAAATCGATTTGGTTAAATAACTTATTATAAAAATAATAATAATAATAATAATAATATTTACTTTGGACAAAGTACAGTATTACAGATATATCGTTAAGGAATTGAGTCTTTGCCATGCAAACTCTGATAGTCTAATCACTAAATCTTTGGAACCAAATGTTGTAGACCCTAAAGATATTTCAAACTATGAATTCTGTTAAATCAAATAATCTGATTTTGAAATATCAAAGGTTTACAACATCGGGTTCTTAAAATGTAGTGGTTTAAAAATTTGTGTTTGTGACAAAGACTCAATTCCTTTGTATAGAATTGTATCACATAATTAATACTTGTCCGACCGTTGAATTTAGCCGATATTAAACAATAAATATAAAATAGATATATTAAAAAGAAACATAAAAATATAAATGGTTCCGATCTTATTTCCGGTAAATTTCATTTAAAAGAAAACTCATTTTTGCACAAACTTCTTTTTATAGTTAGAAGAGATTCAGACAAAACTGACGCAGTTGGATACCTCAGGTTTGGATCTTTTAACACTTTTTAAACTTTGTCCTAGTTGGGTATACGATCCTACAATCTAACTGATCATATACACTCTATACGATCCTACAATCTAACCGATCATATACACTCTATACGATCGTACAATCTAACCGATCATGTACACTCTATACGATCATCTACACTTTATACAACTATCTACAATCTATCAGACCATAACAATATATCCGATCATCTATCAATCTATCAGATCATCTAAAATCTGTACGATCATCTGCAATCTATCCGATCATATACACACTATACGATCATCTACGCTCTATATAATTATCTACAATCTATCAAATCATCACAATCCATCCGATCATCTATCAATCTATCAGATCACCTAAAATCTATGCGATCATCTTCAATCTATGCAATCATCTTCAATCTATCTGATCATTTTTAATCTATCCGAAAATCTGCAATCTATCCGATTCATCAGTTTTTAAGATAAATTTAGCTTGACATCGTGTATGATTTGGTTCACAATACATCTGAAGAAATTTTTATCTCTATACTTCCTAGGCTGTTAAGTTGGAACCGCTGGAGTAAGACATCTTTTTGAGGGTTTAATATCAAATTTTCTCCCAAGGTCCATTTTATGTCCAGAAAAAAACACCAACCTCAGATACAATTCTATATTTCACAGATTTTTAACTCCACATTGCTAAATAGAGAGTAAATATCCAATAGAAAAACATTTTTTTTGTGGACACACTTCATTTGGACATGTTTTAGAGTTAAATGTCCGTCTGATCGTCCGTCTTGTTGACCGTCTGATCGTTCATCTCGTTAATCATATGATCGTCCACCTGATCCCACCTGATCGACTGTCTGATCGTCCATCTAGTTGATTGACTGATCGTTTCCTCTCTTACAATCCATCAGTAGATTGGTTCCGCATCCAGATCAATTCAACATTAAGAACGAAGTGGTTTAAAGATCCTGGAACCAGGAGCAGAGAGCAGGACGAACCTGAACACTAGGACGGAGCAGTTGGAGCTCAGGGTAGATCGAGCTCTGGAGGAGAGTATCACTGTACTCAAGAAGGAACAGGATAATTAAGTATAATTGCAAAATTTATTTAAATTGGTAAATTATTCTTAGCAAATCTTATCTACAGGGTTGCCCACAAAGAACGAGACTTCGGATATTACTGTACAACGGACTTTTATACTGTCAGTTTCCTTAGATTTAAAATTCCAAGAAACTGAAAAAAATTTTCTTGAATCATTTACAACAGAAGACTTAATTCAACCTTTGAATTGGGTGTCTTTACAGTATTATCCTTTGGGGGTAACCTTGTATTGGTCATATTTAGAAAATATATTTTGTTTAAATGGAATAAAAAGAATGTTTAAAATATTTTAAAACAATCATCTCATGTTTTCGTTTCCGATAGGATTATGAAACCAAGATTGGAGAAATAAAAGAAATGTGTATAAGCACCAAGGAACCAATACTTTCCTTTGTAAATGCTTAATAAATAAACAGGACACCAACATCAATAAAGCTTTTATGAGCTGGTAAAATGAAAGGAACTGAATACTGAAATAAATTAAGTCCGTACATATTTGCAACCTTAGGGTTTAAGCATTTGATATTTCAAGCTTGGATTATTTAATCTTAATAATTTGAAATATCTAAGGTCTATACAAAATTGGGTTGAATAGATGTGGGAATTAGAAAATAAGATTTTGTGGCAAAGACTCATTTCCTTTTAATTTTCTAGTCCCTTTATCTAGTGATTAATCTATTGTTTTAGACCGTTGATATTTTAAAGTACAAATTCTGCAAGATCAAATAGTCCAAGTTTGAAATATCTTAAGGTTTACAGGGTTTACACCCTCAGATATAAGGATTAGAAAATTTGAATAAGTGGCGAGTGTTCAGTTTCTTTGTATTTAAACGTATAATTTTAACAAATGTTATCTCAGAGAGAAAATCAAATTTTAAATAATCCAAAAAAGATAAAGGATAAAGGATATGACGACTCTGATAAATAAATTTATTTTTCATAATTCATAATTTTAAGTGACCTTCCATGCAAAGATTGTAAAGTCTGATTCACAACGATACCCTGGAAACCTTTATCTGATTAATAATGTGGAAGATATTGTCGTTTTTCTAGGTTTTCCTGCAGTGGAAATGCGCAAGTCACTTTTGTACAGAACCCACATTGATTTGTAATTCATATTTGATCACAGAAAGCTTTTAAGGGTACCGTTGTGAATCAGGCATTGTCATCTTTGCATAAAGGGTCACTTGAAATTACGCTTACAGTATTTTTAAGATTGATTTGTTTATAGTTTTATTTCATCAAAAAATCAAGTCTAACTTTTGAAAATTTCCCTAAAATGTTTGGTTTGGTTTTGAACCTGCGTAGCGTGAAGCAGAAACTAGGATGAATCTTCTAGATTCAGAAATCGGAGAGAAAATCAGGGAAATATTAAATAAAACATGAGATTAAAAGACGACTTTGAACAGCTGCAAACATCATTATCCTCTTCAATTCTTTGTTTAAATTTGTTAAACAAAAATGGTCTCTTGCCACCATTGAAGTCAGTATTTGCCGATAAAAAAACGAAATGTCCATGCTCAAAAGACCTTATAAGAGACGCAACTGGGTATTTTTTTAAAGGGGGGGGGGGTGGAAATTTTTGTTGCGCAGCTTTAGTTTTAAGGCGTAAATTTTTCCTATTTTCTGAACCTATTTTCTGAACCTATTTTCTGAACCTATTTTCTGAACCTATTTTCTGCCAATTTTCAGAAATAATAAATCGAGAGAAAGAAAGAAACTGAGTTTTTGCCATAAACTCAAATTTTCAAATTCTTAAAGCTTTACAACCTTTGATATTTCAAACTATAAATTCTGTTAGTTAGTTTAAAATATCAAAATTGTAAATCATTGGGTTACAAAGATATAAGGTTCTGAAAATTTGAGTTAGTGGCAAAGACTCAATTCCTTTCTATAAATAAAAAGTTGTTTCATTGAAATTAATACTTAGAGTTGAGATCGATAAATTGAGAGAAGATTTAGGATCACAACTTAGCAATGCAAACCAAACCTCATCTAGTCGGGAGTCAGGTACTCTTGCATCTTTGTATCATTGTAACCCTGTCTTCCAAATATCTAAAAAGTTAATTGTCAATCTATCTGTTAGGAGATACACCTGGAACCCCGTATATATTTTTCTTCGAATAAATAGTGTACTACATTTTGTAGAAGGAATGTTAACTACTCAGATATAATGATTGTTTATATTATTCCCAAAAATTGCAGAATCACTTTTTGTTATCACATATATTGGGGTTTCTGGTAAATCTTCCTTGCACAGAAATATGTTTACCATTATTTCCAGTTTGAAAGATAACATTGCAGTACGATACATGAACATATTTGCTTATTTTGACCAAGTGTCTGAGACTGCGTATATACACAATGTACACAGGTTTTTGAGCAACTCTTAAATATCAATCTGAAGTGGGTTTTGATCATCTAGTATTCTCCGATCTCAATATCTATCCATTTCTGAATATATATATATATTTGTATCCCCGTATCTCTCCATCTCTGAATACATATATATATATATATTTGTATCCCTGTATCTCTATATTTGTGCATCCCATGATGTATCTCTCCATCTCTGAATATATATATATATATATATATATATTTGTATCCCCGTATCTCTATATTTGTGTTTCCCATGATGTATCTCTCCATCTCTGAATATATATACTTGTATCCCCGTATCTCTGTATTTATGCATCCCATGATGTATTTATCTCTTTGTAATGCTGTACTTCCCGAGGCCGAATTTAAAGAATTTGAGCTCAAATACTGTTGGTTCCACTTAAAATTGTATTAAATTTTTCAAGATTTAAGCTGGCACTGAATTGAAACCGGTTTTTGGGGGATTTGTGACCCGGCTTAAATTCATTAAATTCGGACACTATATATGTATTAATATCGTATACGCAATAAGCAATAAGCATGGCTGGTCACCCATTTGATGTTAGGTACTTTCCCAAAGGATTTTTCCCTAGTGGCAACTTCGCAAGATTATCTGTCCAAGTGGCAACTTCCCGAGTCTGTCCTAGCCGCAGCGCTCGGCACACAGCCTATTCTAGCCGCGGCGCTCGGCCCCCTAGTCCATCCTAGCCACAGCGCTCGACCCCCCAATTGCACACTTGGGAAGTTGACACTTGGGAAATTGTCTCTTGGGAAGTCAGCCTTTGAAAAACGCCTTTGGGAAAGTACCTAACACCAAGGATTTTCAGTGTTTAAATGTTATTTCTTACTTCTTAAACGTTTATTAATTTTTAATAACAGGTATGTATAGACATCGGATATTGGAGAGGACGTACCGATGTGTAAACTTTCTTGAAGTTTATTAATTTCTAATAACTGTTATGTCTAGATACAGTTTAAAATTAATATTCTCACTATACATCTTCATCTTCCACTTCTTCTTCTCATTAGTCTGTTTCTCTTTTAATCTTCTTATAATATTGCACTTTAAAGTTTTCCACGGGGCAGGGACCGTCAGTAGACATCGGATATTGGAGAGGACGGACCGATGTGTAAACTTTTTTGAACTTTATTAATTTCTAATAACTGTTATGTCTAGATACAGTTTAAAATTAATATTCTCACCATACATCTTCATCTTCCGCTTCTTCTTCTCATTAGTCTGTTTCTCTTTTAAATCTTCTTATATTATTGCACTTTAAAGTTTTCCACGGGGCAGGGATCGTCAGTAGACATCGGATAATGGAGTGTAGGACGTACCAATGTGTAAACTTAAAGAACCAATAACAGGGATGTCTAGATATGTCTACCTTTGCTTATAAAAAGCAATGTAGAAAATATTAGAATTAAAGACGGTGTCAATTCCACATTTTTGATAAGATAAAGGTTTCAAGGGTGCCGTTGTAAATCGGGAAATGTTATCCTTGAAACTACACTTGCAGTCCCTCTAAGGGGTTTTAATTAAGTATGCATAACGGAAATTAATGGCTTTTTACTTAGGGTTGCCAAGGCAGCTCTATCGCACTTTGTATATTTTACAGGCCAATTTGTCATAGGAAGCCTTGGTTAAAATAATGAATGGTTTGCATACAACTTTTACGTAGCCTAAACATGTTTGGAATAGCGTGGAATACCATGCTTTTTTACCCCCCTTGTATACACGGTGCTGTCAGAGTTTGAAATTTAATTGATTTTTTATTTTAGTTAAACTTGTAAAATTTTTTCGCAAACTTTTCAACTTTACAGAAAACCATTAAGATAGATGAAGTTTTAGGTTTAACTCAGGTGATGGGGGAAGAATTTTTTTTTCATGTTAAATAGTTAAAAATGGCATTTTAGAGCGAATTTTTACAGCGGAAGTTTGGAATATGATTATATATGTATAGTAAATTTAGAAAAGTCATATTTCAGATTTGATCACAGAAATGACAACAAGGATTTCCTTTTTATAATCATGAACTGTTCATGTTCGAAATTTATGAGCATATTTTCAGAGGTTCGTGATGAACTGCGTGAATTGAGTTCTGAACTAAGAACATTGTTCGGTAAAATGGAAACTATCTCCACACAACTCGAAGATGTTCAGGTTAAATAATTTCTAGATTTTTCTAAAATACGATCAAATTTGATATAATTCATACCAAAGACAAAGATAGACAATCAGGCAACTGATAAAAAAATCTGACATAAGATGTAAATAAAAGTTTGAATATGACTACGTACAATCAGATGCGCAGCTTGTATTCTATACCACCTTGTGCAGTGTATGTACATGTTGATTAGTATATTCCAGATGAAGATGTACTGTACAGTGTAAAGTCTAAGTCATAGATATACAAGAATTTCTTGTATATCTATGGCCTATGTAAATGCTGTTAACCATATTCCAGAAGAAGATGTATTGTACAGTGTAAAGTCCATGTACATGTTGTTAACCATATTCCAGAAGAAGATGAATTGTACAGTGTAAAGTCCATGTACATGTTGTTAACTATATTCCAGAAGAAGATGTATTGTACAGTGTAAAGTCCATGTACATGTTGTTAACTCTACTTCAGAAGAAGATGTATTGTACAGTGTAAAGTCCATGTACATGTTGTTAACTATATTTCAGGAGAAGATGTATTGTACAGTGTAAAGTCCATGTACATGTTGTTCACTATATTTCAGAAGAAGATGAATTGTACAGTGTAAAGTCCATGTACATGTTGTTAACTATATTTCAGGAGAAGATGTATTGTACAATGTAAAGTCCATGTACATGTTGTTAACTATATTTCAGGAGAAGATGTATTGTACAGTGTAAAGTCCATGTACATGTTGTTAACTATATTTCAGGAGAAGATGTACTGTACAGTGTAAAGTCCATGTACATGTTGTTAACTATATTTCAGAAGAAGATGTATTGTACAGTGTAAAGTCCATGTACATGTTGTTAACTACATTTCAGGAGAAGATGTATTGTACAGTGTAAAGTCCATGTACATGTTGTTAACTATATTTCAGGAGAAGATGTATTGTACAGTGTAAAGTCCATGTACATGTTGTTAACTATATTTCAGGAGAAGATGTATGATTTCGAGCAGAATAAGAGAAATAATCTGATCTTTTACGGGCTGTACCAAGAATTTAAAGAAAATCAGGAAACCCTTAGGTAAACAGACCCAGCTTACATGGTGTTGCATAATTTTTCAAAAAAGCAGGACAAATTTGTATAAACAGTGTTCCAAAAAAGCAGGACAAATTTGTAGGAACAGTGTCCCAAAAAAGAAAAGAAAAGCATGAAAAACCGAAATACACATGGTATCAGAAAAAGATGATATAAAACTGCAGATATCATATCAATATCTGAATTGTTGGTAAAAAAAAAACATATTTTCCAACTGTTTTCAGTCCGTGCTATGTTCAAGTAGACTACATACAGGGTGTCCCAATAAATATGGGAATTATGTCTTACAATTTAGACTGTTAGTTCTTATCAAAGACGATATCGAATTCATCATGCTCTCAATTCCCATATTTATTGAGACACCCTGTGCTGAGTACTTATTTGTCTTAAATATCAGTCTCTCTGAAGTGAGCTTGAATCAAAAAGAAAAATGATGAACTTCTGTAGAGAATGAAGACGAAGTTTAAAAACAAATGTTAAGTTCAGCAACTATTTTTACTTCAGAATAAAATTTAAATTTATTTTAGAAAATTCGTTTTGAAAAGTACTCGAATTTTTAAAATTGCTTTGATCCCAGCAAACTTGAAAATTAAAGTTAGATGTATATACTTATATTAAAGGTTTATGGATTAATCAAAATTTATTTATGCTTTAAACAATGTAGGAATTTGAAGATTTGTAATGAAGAATTCCATCGTTGAAATGTATTTACTAATGTTAAATTGCTGTCACCAGAAATAAAATCTCATACGTTATTTCTATGGACAAATCAAATTTGCATATCTATCAAAGATCTGTGTACATTTATATCTGATAAGTTGATTAATGTCGTTATATGTGCAATCTATCTTTATCTATGGTTATTTCCAGCAAAAAATTATTGGTTTAAAAATCATAGGTTTACAACCCGGTGTCGTAAACCAATTTGATCTTTAAATTTTTAGTTCTGTTAGAAATATTGAAGGTTAACAACTTCAGGGTGCAAAGATATTAGGATTAGAAAAACGAGTTCATTATTTTCCTCCATTTTCTTCCATGATTAAAAGATTCCTACTTAGTTCTAAACATTTCAAGGTTTTAACCATATTTTCAAAGATTCTATTGCGAACTAGATCCATATAGAAGATCACATTTTTTTAGATTTTGCCCTTTCTCAAATTACAAATTCATTAAAAGCTGAAAACATGAATAACAATTTAAACAATGCTTTTTCAAATAAAAGAATTAATATGTTTCTTTAAAAATGTTTTAATTTACAATTTTCTTTTCATTTATATTCTCTAATGAAAATTTTAATCAAATTGCCAAAATTAACTTTGTGATGCATTTTTTTCAACTTGCAAAACAATTCTTTACAAGTTAAGGAAAACATGCTTTTTGATGAAGTTTTAGTTTTCATCGCTCACTGTGACCTAAACAGAAGATGTTCAAATTCATGAGAAATTACTGGAACGCCTTTGTGATCTTTTAGCTCCTCTAATTTTGATCTTAAGCAAAGTTTTCAATTTTATTTACAATTTACTTTAGTTTGACGTGAGCAGGTGGAAAAACACATCTTTTTCATGTGATTTTATAAAAGTTAAATTCTAATTTAAATCCATGTTAAAACAAAAATTTCTAGGTTCCAAAGTAATTTATTTAAATAAATTACAAAATTGATGGAGATATTGCTTAAATAGTTCATTTCAATTCATTATTTTCTGGTTTAAATACACGTTTAAAATCCAAAAATCAGAATAATAAAATCAAAATAAATTCAGGATCTTTGTGTTGATTTTTTTCTTTTGAAATTATTAACTATTTTTGCAGGCAAAAAATTGTCAGTTTATTGAAGCAAGATTTGAATATTAGACGCGATCTACCAATTGTCAAAGCAACGAGAATATACACAGGTATCAAGAACAATTGGTCTAATCAACATTTATTAGAGAATATACACAGGTATCAAGAACAATTGGTCTAATCAACATTTATTAGAGAATATACACAGGTATCAAGAACAATTGGTCTAATCAACATTTATTAGAGTAAGTTTTTGGGAAGGTTGTATAATAAGGTTCTTTACTCTCGATGCACTCAAATGTCGTCTCAAAAGATAGATAGATAATAACCCAATATGACGTCACTCTCGCCTCTGTAATCAGTGACGTCATATTGTGTTTTTCTCTATTTACCTTAGGAGACGACATTTTCCGTACCTTCTATATATAAATTTGGCTTGTCTGTTTGTTTGTTTGTCTGTTTGTTTGTTTGTATCCAATAAACGTCAAAACGGCTGAACCGATCGGGCCCAAATTTTTTGTGGGACATCACGTGACCACAGGGAAGGTTTATGAATGATAGAAATTTAAATCATGTGTTTTAAAGATTTTTAATTTTGTAAAAAAATTTAAATTCTTGAAAATCCGCGAATTTTTTTTTAAAAATCCGCAAAAATTTTTTCCTCTTTGTTTTAAAATGTAAACAAAAAAAGAACATGTTCACAATTTAAATAGATGATGGGCGCGAAGCGCCTTAAAAGCCTAGAAAGAAGGGCGCGAAGCGCCTTGAATTTCTAGTATATATATGTTTTTTAAACTGTTCACAGTTGTGTACAAAATATGTATTGTAGATCATACTTTATTTGCGGAATTTAGGAAACTCAGAATATTTTGGGATGGAGGAAATATGATCTTTTCATTTTTCAAAGTTTACTCCTCATGTTTATCGTTTCCCCCTGTAGGTCCAGAAGTCCAAGGGACCCGACCTGTTCTTGTAACATTCGAAAACTTTAAGGATAGAGAGGATGTTCTAAAAAATTCCAAGGTTGGTCTTAAAAATTTAAAAGTTTAAAAACATGAATAGTGAATCTCTAAGATTAGCTTACCCTAAACGATAAGCAAGTTTTTTTTTTCTTCACTGGATATGCAATGGTTATTTTGACAGATAATATTGTCAAATACATACTAATAAATTGGTATATTTAAAAACAATGAAAAAATCTGGTTTTTTCTTTCTTGTCAGGTACTGAAAAAATCAGCTGTAACCGTAACAGAAGACTTGTCTAAGAGAACTAGAGAAAGCAGACAAGAGCTACGGAGGTTTATGAGACAGGTTAGTTCATATCTAATATAGACAAGAGCTACGGAGGTTTATGAGACAGGTTAGTTCATGTCTAAAATAGACAAGAGCTACAGAGGCCTATGGAACAAATTAGTTCATGTCTAAAAAAGACAAGAGCTAAAGAGGTTTATGAAACAGGTTAGTTCTTGTCTAATATAGACAAGAGCTACAGGGTTTATGGAACAGGTTAGTTATATTCATGTCTGAAATAGACAAGAGCTACAGAGGTTTATGAAACAGGTAAGTTCATGTCTAGTATAGACAAGAGCTACAGAGGTTTATGATACAGGTTAGTTCATGTCTAATATAGACAAGAGTTACCGAGGATTATTAGACAGGTTAGTTCATATCTAATATAGACAAGAGCTACGGAGATTTATGAGACAGGTTAGTTCATATCTAATATAGACAAGAGCTACGGAGGTTTATGAGACAGGTTAGTTCATGTCTAAAATAGACAAGAGCTACAAAGGCCTATTGAACAGATTAGTTCATGTCTAAAAAAGACAAGAGCTAAAGAGGTTTATGAAACAGGTTAGTTCTTGTCTAATATAGACAAGAGCAACAGGGTTTATGGAACAGGTTAGTTATATTCATGTCTGAAATAGACAAGAGCTACAGAGGTTTATGAAACAGGTTAGTTCATGTCTAGTATAGACAAGAGCTACAGAGGTTTATGATACAGGTTAGTTCATGTCTAATATAGACAAGAGTTACCGAGGTTTATGAGACAGGTTAGTTCATATCTAATATAGACAAGAGCTACGGAGATTTATGAGACAGGTTAGTTCATGTCTAATATAGACAAGAGCTACGGAGGTTTATGAGACAGGTTAGTTCATGTCTAATATAGACAAGAGCTACAGAGGCCTATGGAACAGATTAGTTCATGTCTAAAAAAGACAAGAGCTAAAGAGGTATATGAAACAGGTTAGTTCTTGTCTAATATAGACAAGAGCTACAGGGTTTATGGAACAGGTTACTTATATTCATGTCTAATATAGACAAAAGCTACGGAGGTTTATGAGACAGGTTAGTTCATGTCTAATATAGACAAGAGCTACGGAGGTTTATGAGACAGGTTTGTTCATGTCTAATATAGACAAGAGCTACGGAGGTTTATGAAACAGGTTTGTTCATGTCTAATATAGACAAGAGCTACGGAGGTTTATGAGACAGGTTTGTTCATGTCTAATATAGACAAGAGCTACGGATGTTTATGAGACAGGTTAGTTCATGTCTAAAATAGACAAGAGCTAAAGAGGTATATGAAACAGGTTAGTTCTTGTCTAATATAGACAAGAGCTACAGGGTTTATGGAACAGGTTAGTTATATTCATGTCTGAAATAAACAAGAGCTACAGAGGTTTATGAAACAGGTTAGTTCATGTCTAGTATAGACAAGAGCTACAGAGGTTTATGATACAGGTTAGTTCATGTCTAATATAGACAAGAGCTACCGAGGTTTATGAGACAGGTTAGTTCATGTATAAAAATAGACAAGAGCTGTTTTCAGGACTAAACAGGATCAGAAATTTATAACACCGGTTAGAGGTTCATTAGACAGATATTAGATTAGAGGTTCATTATACAAATTAGAAGTTCATAAGACAGATCAGAGGTCTATGAGATAGATGAGAGGTTTAAAGATAGATCAGAGGTATATAAGACAGATCAGAGGTTTTAAAATAAATCAGAGGTTAATAAGACAGATCAAAGGTTTATAAGATAAATCAGAGGTTTATAAGATATAGAGCAGAGGTATAAAAGATAGATCAGAGGTTTATAATATAGATCAGAGGTTTGTGAGATAAATCAGAGGTTTGTGAGATAAATCAGAGGTTTATAAGATGGAGTACAGGTATTAAAGATAGATCAGAGGTTTATAAGATAGATCAGAGGTATATAAGACAGATCAGAGGTTTATAAGATAGATCAGAGGTTTATGAGGTATAGAGCAGAGGTATAAAAGATAAATCAGAGGTTTATAAGATATATCAGAGGTTTATAAGATGGAGTAGAGGTATAAAAGATAGATCAGAAGTTTATATAATAGATCAGAGGTGTATAAGACAGAACAGAGGTTTTTAAGATAGATCAGAAGTATATAAGATAGATAGAGGTTTATAAGATAGATCGAGGTTTATAAGACAGATCAGAGGTTTATAAGACAAAACAGAACAGAATAAAGAAGAAAACCCCTGAACGAGTATGTAGACTGGAATATAATAAATTCTACTATGATTATGTAGATAAAGAAGAAAGCCCCTGAACGAGTATGCAGACTGGAATATGATAAACTCTACCTAGATCATAAAATATATGTTTGGAATGATATACGCGGCCAGGTCAGAAATATTACAGGGTTAGCCACAAAGGGTGAGTCTGTTAAGACGACCTTAAAATCTTTAAATATGAATAGCATGATTGAATTAAGTCTACTGACTTTGATATAGTCTTTTAATGACTTCTTTCGTTTAGAAAAAAAAACAAGTTTATAGTTGAAGGGAATCATAAATAAAAACTATAGTATAAATTCCGTACAGTCGTCTTATCTTTTGTGGGTAACCCTGTACGCAAACAAAAACACACACAGTCATAATCAGAAAGACCCGGAATTAATTTATAATTAATCAATAATCAGACGACTTTACAATCTATTTTACAAATTTGATTAATGAAACGAAAATAACAAAATAGTCCTAGTACTGCCAATTCCAAAATGTGGTCTGCCTTTATTTTGTGTTGAATTTTACCAGAGATATATACATAAAGTCGTCTGAATAATTGTCAAATATTCCGGGTCTTTCTGATTATGACTGTATTTTGTGAATTTTATATATTTTAATCCCTTAACCTACAGGGTGTCCCACGAAACATGACAGATGGTTTTAAATGTCTTCCTCTGCATAAAATATTAGAAATTACAGACTAAAGTTTATTTCGTGAGCAAAATCTTTACTCAAATATATTTTACTTTGAAATCAATTTTACTATAAAATGACTGCCATTTTATATTTCTTATTAATGACAAAGAACTCTACTCTCCTAAATATAAAAACCGGATCAAATTTTTTTCGAGACAATCGATATCGAGATACATGTATATTAAAGATTCAATACTTCTCGATAAAAAGAAAAATATCTGTACAAAGCGAAGAGTACTGCGAAACAAAATAAAGTGTTTTGAATAGTTATTATGAAAATGAGTTAATAGCGCTTCCGGAAGATGTCAGTCTTAAAGTTGACCGGTCCAGATATTCTTTCTTTTCTCCAGGTCGTTGAAATCTCCGAGGTTGAGAAGGTTCAAGATTCAGGTTTCAGATCCAACTCCGCTGCTCCTCCCAGGGGAGGTTTAGCCCGAGGGTTGAGCCTATCCTCTCCTAATGTATCCGGGGACCCAGATCTTCTGGATAGAATCAGAGGACTAGAGAGACAGATACAGATACAGCAGGTATTCCGTTGCCAGTCCCTTGAAAACTGAAAAAAATTACTTAAACGTTTTTTTAAAGAGCATTATCAGTGAACAAAGGCAGCAGATAGCAACTACAGGAGACGGTGCAGCTTCTATAGGAATGGCAGCTGTTGAAGAAGCAGCTAACGTGGGAAAAGCAGTTGAGGATGAGCAGCAAATAAACGGGATAATATCCTCAGATGAAAAAAGGTATTATTCCAAACAATTTCAAAATCATTGAAGAATATCATAATTTCGACAATATTAGCTCAAATCAAAGTGTTAAGAAATGGTCACAGTGATTCTTCTTTCTTACGACTTTGTGTAAACACCACTTTTAATCATAAATTATCAAATATCCAAGAGCATTTATCCCCCTTCACATATACTTCAAGGTAGTTATTCTATCCTGCGCGTGAGCTATTATAAAGAATAATTTAGCTTAAAAACGAGCAATTTAAAATTACGAACATTTTGTTCACAATTATGCGCAGAATTCTTTAATATCTAACATTCTATAATTGTTCATGATTAATTTTTTTTTGGACAAACTCAAAATGTTGAGGGTTTAGGCCACTGTAATGTACAGTCCAGTCTGAACTACCTAATGTATAGTTGACCCTGAGCACGTGTTAAGCAACAAATGTAACCTGGCAAGATCACAGTGAGCTAGGCCAATATAGGTTTCTATGAATATATTTCATGCATTTACTAGGTGTACAGATTCCCCAGAGGGGGTTCAGAATGGAGAAGAATAACATTTTACATCACTGATTTTGTAAAAGAATACCGATTTTAGAATTGAATAAACATTTTAAAAAGTCCATTTTTATGAATGTTCCTAATTTCCTATTTTTGGTTGGGGGGGGGGGGGNTGATCCCAATCATAAATACAAAATATTGATCCCAATCATAAATACAAAATATTGATCCCAATCATAAATACAAAATATTGATCCCAATCATAAATACAAAATATTGATCCCAATCATAAATACAAAATATTGATCCCAATCATAAATACAAAATATTGATCCCAATCATAAATACAAAATATTGATCCCAATCATAAATACAAAATATTGATCCCAATCATAAATACAAAATATTGATCCCAATCATAAATACAAAATTTCCGTCATTTTTTTCTTGTCTAGTTTTCATGAGCCGACACTTGTGACTTGATTTACCAGTCAGAGATAAGGAAGGTTTCTTTTATCAATCTTGACACTTGCTTATATTTTGTGTTTGAAATGAAAAAGATTTGGTAAATATTTTGCGGTTAAGATCCTAATTCCTATCCTCACTGAACTGGGCAGAATGAGGTTATATTTATGTGACGCGTTACTCGTGAGGCTACCCCAACGAGGTTATAGTGTATAGTGTGATGATGTACGCTAATTCTTTACTAATATAGGCCATAAACTTTACCAAGAGCGTACTGCATATTTGTTTTTTATAAGTTGATTCTGGCCTAACCTACATAGTATATCAATATTAGTAAACAGTTTACGATTACGATTACGATTTTCGGGACTATTCAGAAAATTAAAAAAAAATTAATCATTTTGAAAAATTGGATAAGGTTAATATAAGAATTTTCTTGTGGAAAATACTAGTTTTTTCGAGTATTATTGTTTTATGTTGGCGTTAAAGCTTGGAGATAATCTAACATAATATTCCGGACGCTCTGTATGAGAGCAGGGAATTTATTCAGTAAATATTAGAAGTTCAATGTTCTTTTCTCAATCTATTGAAGAAATGGAGTAATATGAGTGAAAACATATTAGATTCTAATCCGTCGCTGAATTTACTTTACTTTGTCGTAACTCTTGACTTTGCTCTCTAAGATCTAAATTTTCAAAGGGATTTACGAACCTTTTAGTCAGAAAATCTCACCATTGACATTACTATTGTGTACTTTCCTACGCGCGGTACCCAAGGAGTATGAAATAGAAGGGAGATATAACTGACGCGGTCCGTCCTACCGCCCCCTACCATATGATATGCTTTGCAGAGGGCAATGAATGTAAGGCAAGGAAAGTCATTTCAGTGGTCTACGAATTTTTGTACTGCAGTGTACTGTCTTTGGGCTCTAATTTAAACACAAGAGTAGGGGTGTCACAGCCTGACATGGGATCCATCTTTCAAATAAAAAATCAATGATTTATTCTGGTCATAGGAATTTATAACATAAATTATCAAAATTAAAAAAAAACTTTAAGTTATTCCATTGTAATATTTTACTAAGGTTGTGGAAAAACTTCTGCATTTTTAATTATTTAACAATTAGACCCAATAAATGTACAAATTGGATCACAACGTCTTTTTTGTTGAAAAAAATCTCAAGAACAGAAATAAACTATCAACTATAAACTATATTATGGTCGTTTTTGGGTAAGGAATTCTCCATTGAACCCCCCTCCTCGAATACTGAACGAACACTGATGCATCTATTATTGTTTACAAATTCCCCCAAAGAGAACTGGTTTCAATATGTACACATAGTATACACAACCGTAATTGACTTTCCTTGCCTTACATTCTTGGCAGAGGGTACTTTGAATAAGAAATATTTGTCTGATGTAAAATTACCGCGTATACAATAACCTATTCTGAATATTTCTTATACAAATGGAGTACCGGCTGCAAAGCATGTCTATTGTCTAATCATATGGTACGGCGGGCCGCGTCACCGTCTCCCTTCTATTTCATACTCCTTGGCGGTAACAATGGGGATAAAAACTTAAATTCTTTGGCTTCTCTATTATTGTGTCACACCTGGGATTCAATATATTTTTGACACAAATCTTATTCATATTAAAACCTCGAGATCGATCAAAGGTGTGACTCAATTCCCTGGTTTGTTGTCAATCCCAGCTGTAAAGGTAACAAAAGCCTCTTGTACCTCTTGAGGTTTCTTATAAAATATTTCTTCTTATGCAGAGTCTTATTTAAACTATTTTGCAACTGCCAAATTTTATCCGTCTCTCATAAAGAGCAGGGGAGCCAGGCGGCCTTGAGCCACAACTATTTTCTCTTTGATGCCACAAGTTAGCCTTTTTCGTCTTTCGCAGCTAGACCACACCAGTGCTCAGGATCATTTAATTTTGATCCGGATCTGGAATCCGCACTGGAAAAAATTAATCCGGATCCAGAATATGAAAATTGGATTTTTTAAACAAAATTAAACTTTACAAATTCTTCTTTTATTTTCTTATTTTTATGCTACTAGTAAACAATTCAACAAAAAGATTTTTTTTTGATAATCTTCCGTTTTTAACAGCTCAGATTTGAGTTTTAAGAGTAAAATTTTTTTTTGCATTTCTTGATTAATATTTTGCCCCGTGGATCCCCATATTTTTGCGGATCCATATCCAGGAAGTCAAAATGTTGCGGAACCTCAGCACTGCCCACAACTTGTTCGCTCCGTTCATGTCACATTTAAGGTCTTATGTTTTTAGCAATGCATGAATGATAGTTTTTAGAAGAAAATCAAATGTTCTTAGTGTTTTTCAAAACTCTAGCCAACGTCTAGAAATCTTGATTTAAAAAGTTTGACTGTGAATAATAATGATTTCTTTTACTGTCAAGTGAAGCACTTATTTTTTCCTCCCAGTTCTCCGCCTCCCTAAAATGTTCCAACTTTTAATTCAGATTGAAGTAAAACTAAATGTTTGAAGGGTGCTCCAAGCCAAAAAATTTATAAAGAAAACAACTAAAGGACTAAAATTCTTCGAACTTTAGATTGCAACGTATTTCAAAAACTCGACACTTTCAATCTTGAATTAAAATCATGATATTCTAATGAACATTATTCTAACAATGCTGTATATCCAGCAAGAATATGCGTATCTACGGATCCGCTTCAAGGACTTCAAGTAGCACAAAATCCACCAAAACCTGTTAAAAAATGTTGCATCAAAAATGAGAGATAGAACTTTCGAATCTCTAAATGTTTCATCAAGTTCAAGCATAAAATCAAGGAAAGGGAAAAAATTAAGACATATTTTCATTTCTTCAAAAATCAGTACATCGTTAAGCGTTAAGGACCTGGATCGGGATCCATTTTTTACAAATTGGATCCTAAGCACTAAATTTAAAGAAATAAGAGCGTGGAAGGGAAACATATTTGTATATCAATGGCCGCCTGCCTTCCCAACTCTCTCAACAAACAATAAGCAAGTTTTCTTCTAATTTCTATTTCGTCATTCTTCAGCCTTAAAAACAATCAGTTCTTTTAAATATTACAAAAATTACACATTTAGCAAGAGTTAGACTTAATCTTAACACAAATAGTCGTCAAAGGTGAAACCGTGAAGGTGCTGTAAAATCAATTACACATCTATTTCTTTATTTGTAGATTTAGATTGATGGAAACGAAAACTGGACGTATAAAGATTAAATGCCAATTATCTTGATTTAAAAAAAATATGTGGATAGGATTCAGCAACTAGCGTAAAACGAAACTTTGCTACATTGTGATGAACAGCTACAAATATACATATCTTACTAATAAACTTTTACGATACGTGTTCAATAAATAATAAGCATATAAACCTAGACACGTGTTATACAAGGATGAATAGATGAATGGATGCATGTGATGGGTAAATACTTTAGTTTACATTATATTTAAAATCCAGAAAGAACAAAAAAGTAAGAATGAACGAACAATGTCTTGAATCAGCAGCAATAAACATCAGCTTTTTTGTTTTGATTCGAGACCAGTTCGTAAAAGTCTAACTCAGAGCAGAGCAAAATATGTAGCTTTATTTGTTCTCAAAGGTTTAAGCACAATTGTGCTGAGAAATAAATATATTCTACCAATATTTTCAAATTATCTAAAAATTTATATTATTCATAAATAATACTGACTAAAATATACAGTGACGTTAACCCTCAGATAAGAAAATCTTAATATTTGGGTAGAATATATTGATCCCTGAATGAGTATATGTTTATGCATACGCATAGAGAATGACGCAATTCTTTTAAACTCGTCACAAATTTAATGCGTAGAATGTTGAGATTAAAAATAAAAGAGAAAGAGATTTAATCACATGAACGGTTATCTTCAACATTTTGGTCTAAGAGCGGTCAGAAAACAGTCCAATGTATTATTAGTCTGAGCAGGAGTTTAATGAGATTAATGAAGAGAGTAGGAAACTAATGACTAATCCACCAATGATGAATGTGCTAATGACCCACCAGACCCAGTTAATTATTCAGTATAGGAGGCTGGTGAGCCTAGTTGACCTGAGTGAGCTTAATTAGCCAAGAGATAATTAGGCAAATGCAAGTCCTAATCAGCCATAGATGCCTTGTCCAGCACTCAAAAGCTATTTTAGTTCAATTATATTACCCCGAGGTTTCCGGGTGTGTTTAATCAGCTGAAATGGAATGATTCGCTAGATATCGATAGGGCTGAATTAGCTGATTTAGACTGAAACAGCTAAATCGGACTGAGTCAGCTAATTTGGACTGCATCAGCTAGATAGGACTGAAACAACTAAATCGGACTGAGTGAGCTAATTTAGACTGCATCAACTAGATAGGACTGCATCAGCTATATAGGACTGAAACAGCTAGATAGGACTGAAATAGCTCACTGAAATAGCTCACCAAAATTAATCTGTAATTAACTGGGATTAACGGGTATAAAATAATCTGCAGTAAGAATGCACTATTGCCTAATTTTCAGTTTGAATTTTCATCAAGATTCCGTCACCTCTACTTAAACCTGAAAACAGAATAATTAGAGAAATACGATAGAAAATAATAAAACAAGGTTCAAGGACCTGAAGTTTCAAGTGAAAGTCGAATTTCCGATTCACAACGATACCTTCAGAAGCATTTGTCTGATCGAGTATGATTTAGGAATACAAACTTAAGTGGAACCAACCATATTTGAGCCGCGACTTAAATTTAAACCGCGGCTCAAATTCTTTAAATTGGGCCTTAGAGCTGGTAACTTTTGTGTGAATACTCGAACTCATAATCCCGATAGTTTGATCTGTATATCCACGGTGGACACTTTTAACTTGAGGATCAATGGTTAATCTCTTGAGATCAGTTATCCCTTCAGGGTACATTAACACTGCGGATATCAAATAAAAATTTAATTTATCTAAATATTAACAAAAGATCGAGATCAAGGACCAAATGAGTTGCGCATTTTTGCTGCAGGAAAACAACGTTACAAAGACATTACCTTTAATTTACAAAGACAGTTCCTTTAACTTCCAAAGACAGTTCCTTTAATTTATTTGTCTTTTTATCGGCGCAGGGCATCTACCCATTTCCTCATTTTAACTCAATTCCTTCAGCGAGTAAAAATGACGAATGTTAATTTTACAACATGTAAAACACAGCTACTGGTCAGGGTTGAATTGTGTTAAATGGAAAAATCGAACGCTAGATTAAAGTCAGGAAACAAATAAAGGGGATGGTGGAGTTGGCACATTTGATGTAGGGGGGGGGGGGCTGCCTTCATTTTTGGTTCAAATCTTCCAATTTTTTGGCTGCANCCCCCCCCCCTACATCAAATGTGCCAACTCCACCATCCCCTTTAGAAAAATTTCCCTTAATGGGTTTAATAATTTAATAACAAGTTTTTAACTTTTTCATTATGTTCAACTTGTCGAACAATGGACAGAAGATTGCGGTATTGTGGAAATATTAAGAAATAAAAAAGTTTGAAAGTGAGAGAAAAGTTCATAATAAATCTCACGGGGTGTGAATCAGCTAGAAAAGAGAATCATACGCAAGAAAATTAAATGAGGCGACCTAGAAACATAATTAATACTAATAGCATAGAAAGAAGTTAAATCTTTGAATTAAAATTTTCTTATTCCTATATCTTTGCAATCTGAAGGTGTGAACATATGATATTTAAAACTTGTGACTATTTGATTTAACAGAATTCATAGTTTGAAATATCTAAGGTCTACGCCATTGTGATGCAAAGATACAGGAATTAGAAATTCAGATTGTGGCAAAGACAAAGATTTAATTCTTTCTTATTTTGTAAATTTTCTATACCTTTCCAGTCCCAGAATCGTCCGTGTCGTCGGCAGCTTCGTCTTCCTCCTCGTCATAATCGTCATAGTCGTCATCAAGATCGTAGTCGTCGTCGTAGAAATCAGTCATGTCGATGTTCTCCTGAGTTGGGGGTTTTGCCTTCGGCTTGAGACAATACCTGAAAACGTACAAAATTAGTTTTTATAAATAATTAAGACGAGATTAATTAACTAATAAAGTAACGGAACGACTTTTTATTAACTTAAATTTTAATTTCCTCATATCTTGGCAATCTGAACTCAGCGATATCAAATAGTCAGAACTTGAAATATTACAGTGTAAAACCACCAGGTAAACAAAATATAGGACTAAGAAAATTAGAGTTTTTGAGTAAGTGTCCAGTTCCCCCGATAAAAAATATTGGTAGAGGTTGTGTCAAAAAACGGATTTCATACCTTTATTAAAAAACATAAAACCTCAAAGTGGGAATTAAAATCGAAATAAAAACATCACGCTTGACTTCATAATTTCACATGTTTACTCAAGTGAGGAAAGTAGAAATATTTATTTAACAGTATTTTCCCTTTACCCTCAGAAAATTGACGAATATCTAAGATAAGAGTAAAAAGACATTAATGGATATGGTAGCGAGGAGAGAAGGAGGGATATAAAATAAAACATAAATATTATAGAATTCAACCAGGCAGACATATTGAACACAGTTTACAGGGACACAGTAAATCTTTAAACTGCAAAGATAGAAAGATAGATTGCCATGTAGATAGATAGACGGACTAGTTATTAAATATGGACGTTACGTTAAAACGTTTTCTAAAAAAATAAAATATTATAAAATATAAACTATATACAAATGTGGCGAAAGATAATCGATGACTGTAGGTTGTTATATCTGAATGATTTGTTTGAAATTAAATTGATTTTTTACGGTTTAAGTTGTATGTTGCATTTTTCTGAATTTAAGGCTAATTTTATTACCTTCAACCCCAATAAAGTGACATCTTTGTTTCCCGGATTTCAATAAAATTGACTTACTTGATGATATTCTCGTACTCCTTGTCCCGACCCTTGCTCTCCTTCCACCGCCGGTACATCACGCTGGCGTCCACATTTGCGGGACTAAACAAAAATAAACATAACAACGGCCAACGATCTCTCCCATAAGCGTGTTATCTGACATCTTTAATCGAAAAGGTTTGCTAGAGATGTAAATTGGAAGTTCAGATAATAAACATTAAAAACTTGAAAATTTTTAAAGAAAATAAAAAAACTTCAACTTAAAACAGGTTAGAGTAAGCATTGACACACCTCCATTTAAGCTCGCCAAAACAATTTTATCTCTTTTAAATACAGGTTTTAATAAACACATGTAGATTGTAAATAAAGAAGCTTTAGAGCGAAAATAAATGGTATAAACATCGTTGTATTTTTTCTTTTTAAAAAATAAATATTACATTTTATTTCAGAGAGCCTTCATTTTAAGTTGTTGATCGTCGAACCAAAAATCAGTGCGTTTTCTTTAAAAATCGCGGATTTGTGCAACACAGACAATGAAGGAAATTAAGAGAATTAAAATCTTTTCAAGAAAGAAAATACGATAATATCTTCCTCATAGTTAACTCGAAAAAAGCTTAAGGGTACCCCCTGGTTCGAAATTTGATACGTATCATTTAAAGCTAAATCTGAGTCATCAGAGGATTTTTTTTTTTATGAAATAAATTCAATCTTTACCCCTACATTTAAAACAGTTTCGATAAGGATTTTCAATCATATTGAAACAAAATTTAATTTAATTTTTTTTTTCAGTATTAGCTCATTTTAAACTGCGCATCATGCATTTTACAACACCCCCCCCCTCCCCC